TTAGCCATTTGTATGTCTTCTTTTGGGAAGTGTCTGTTCATGTCTTCTGCCCATTTTTTGACTTGATTATTTGTTTTTTGGGTGTAAGCTTTGTTTTTTAGAATAGTTTTAGATTCACAGAAAAATTAAAAAGACAGTACAGAGTTCCATATACACCGTGTCCAGTTTCTTCTATTATTAACATCTGACAGTAGTAAGCAATTTACAAGTTGTAAATTTGGTACAATTAATGAATCAGTACTGATGTTTTTAACTTTGAATGTGGTTATGATTTTACTATAAATTTAGGTTAATTTCTGTATCCATTCCTACTTTGTCCTCTCTCAGCAAAGCTTTAAAATTTTGCATTATTTTGTTAAATAATATTGTCTGCCATACAAAATATTTCTAGCCGGGGCGCCTGGGTGGCTCAGTTGTTAAGCATCTGCCTTCAGCTCAGGTCATGATCCCAGGGTCCTGGGATCGGGCCCTGCATCGGGCTCTCTGCCTGGCGGGAAGCCTGCTTCTCCCTCTCCCACTCTCCCTGCTTGTGTTCCCTCTCTCGCTGTGTCTTTCTCTGTCAAATAAATAAAATCTTTGAAAAAAAAAATATTTCTAGCCAAAACCTAACAAAAAAATAATAGAAAATAAGACCAAGCCCCTTTGCAGAATATTATTTATGTTCCTTGTGAACACTGCTCACTACATATATACTAATTGACCTTTTTTAAAAAGACAGTTTGTGTATAGTGAAAAAAATAGCACCAATTTGAAGGTAATACATGTATTTAAATAGAACTTAACCAAAGCAGTAAAGCTCCTACAGAGCACATTTCCTTTCTCTCTCAGTTGGGTTAATTCTCTGCTCAGCCAATGAGAGAAGGACTCTCTGATAAATAGGCACCAGTTAGACTTCTCTATCATTACCAACTCATGTATTTTTTCATTCTTGCCAAAAATTGTGTTGTTTCAAGAAGCAAAAAGCTTTCTCAGAATAAGGAAAAAGTGTCATTCATTTTGCCCTTGGGTAAGCTCAATCTCAGATATACATATAACAGTTAAAATTGAGACTTGTGCTGTAAATTTGCAGTTTATTAAAATCTATCTTCATGGCCTTTACAAGTTTTATAAAAATATCAGGTATCTTTAAGACCATTGAAATAAAATACATTGCTTGTAAACAAGTAAACCTTATTAAACGTTAGCCATGTTTCCCATGGGTCATTTGTCACAGTGGAGAGTAAATACAATAACATTTCACTTTGCAATCTTTTCCCCATAGGTTTATTTATGTTTACCCAACTTCCGATCTCTCACCGAGGGGCACTGCCTGATAGTCCCTTTGCAGCACCACAGAGCGGCCACCTTACTGGATGAAGACGTCTGGGAGGAAATTCAGGTCAGTGTGCTCATGCTCATCCTTGTAATGCTCATGAGCAGTCTTACAGACTATCGTTACAAATTCCAATGGGTTTTTATACCTTTGTCCAGTGATCTTACTTTCTGAACTTACACGTTTGTACACATTTTCCTAGTTGTGTATACCTGTGGATCATGGTGTTTTCACCACTCACTACCTTTTAATTTTATTTCCCTGCTGTACTCCATGTTTTGAAAGCTTTTCTAGAAATTTTGTTAATTGAAATTAACTGATGTATAACACACAAGTTTCAGGTGTACAACTGAAAGTTTTTGTGCACTAAATAAACTGTGACAAAGTAATAATTATTTTTACTTAAAAATATCAATGTAAGATTTCTAGTCCATGCTTTTGTGGAACATGAGATGATGATTCTTAACACAGTAAGCTAATAGATTATAGCTAAAAGGAAAGATATTTTCAGATAATAAAAATAAATTTTGGAAGTTAGAGGTTCATATCCAGCAGTTGCCATATTTTCCTATGATGGAATTGGCCTCTGTTGTTGTGATTTTGCCTTTATTTCTATACTTTTCCCTTTATAACCTGGCCCAGCTTTTGAATTCAAGGATTTCGTGTGTGTGTGTGTGAGTGTGTGTGTGTGTGTGTGTGTGTGTGTGTGTGTGGCTGATTCTGTAAGAAACTGAAAGGCACAATATGGGTGAAATTGCTCCTGAATTATCTCAAGACCTCATAATGACCAAAAAAGAAAAGAAAGAAAGCTCTTGTTTTCCTAATACTTGAAATTGAGTAGGGGTTACAGGGAACCCTAGTTAGAAAATGTGAAAATTGTAAGACTTCAGAAGAGACTGTATACTTAGTCTTTGTATCATGCTGACAAAGATGCTGAAAGAGGAAATATTTTTTTTGAAATTTTTAATGTTATGTTAATCACCATACATTACATCATTAGTTTTTGATGTAGTGTTCCATGATTCATTGTTGTGTATAACACCCAGTGCTCCATTCAATACGTGCCCTCTTTAATACCCATCACCAGGCTAACCCATCTAGAACCCTCCCCTCTAGAACCCTCAGTTTGTTTCTCAGAGTCCATCATCTCTCATGGTTCGTCTCCCCCTCCGAATTCTCCCCCTTTCATTCTTCCCCTCCTGCTATCTTCTTTTTCTTCTTCTTCTTTTTTTAACATATAATGTATTATTTGTTTCAGAGGTACAGGTCTGTGATTCATCAGTCTTACACAATTCACAGCACTCACCAGAGCATATACCCTCCCCAATGTCTATCACCCAGCCACCCCATTCCTCCCACCCCCCACCACTCCAGCAACCCTCAGTTTGTTTCCTAAAATTAAGAATTCCTCATATCAGTGAGGTCATATGATACATGTCTTTCTCTGATTGACTTATTTCGCTCAGCATAACACCCGGAAGAGGAGATATTTTGACTGCATATTACCAAATTCACTCTCTTACTTCTTGTAATCTTTCAGTTTATGCTGTGAAAGGTAAAGGGCACACTGTTTCAATGAATCTGTGGCCGAGTAGGGGCAAGAATGTGGACAAAAATATTTGATGTGAAAAAAATTTTTTTCTAGTAGTGGATGCCAGTGCAGTAAATAATTTAAAGTGGAAAGTATGCAAATTTGGTTTTCAGAATTATTTTGAGACTTTTTTGGAATGTCTTTAAAAAATTTATACATGCAAAACTGATTTAACTTAGAGCAAAATACAGTGCCAAAAAGATTTTAAGTAATATAGGAATCTAGTCTGTGTGTTTTATATTTCTGTAAGAAATTAAGCTACTTGATGGAAAACATTGAGGTGGATAAAGAAGAAATTCATTCCAGTTCAGGAGACATTGAGTACATGAATATAAGATAATCCAGGTGTTATGAGAAATGCAGAGATAAAATCATTGCTTCTGCCCAAAGGTATGGTATATTCTCATATAGGTTACATTATAATTTAGTGGATTTTGTGAGCCATATGCATTATGGAAAATTGAATGAGGGATAAAAGCCAAGTTATTTAATACAAATAATAGCATTATGGCTCTTTTCTTATGATAAAAGAAGAAATTCTTACAAGTTATAAATTAGTATAAGATGGTGAACAAATAAAGTATCTGATTCTAGCTTATTTAAAGAAATAAGGGGATTTTTGTTCTTATTTTCAAATATGTACAAAAATTCAAATTGGGGCACCTGGCTGGCTCAGTCAGTGGAGTGTGTGACTCTTGATCTTGGGGTTTTGAGTTCAAGCCCCACATTGGGTGTAGAGATTACTTCAAAATATCTTTAAAATTTTTTTCAAATTAATTATGCCTGTTAAATATCCTTACGGTTATTTGCCCCTTCTAGAGAATATATAACAAAAATTATTTGACTTAGGAAAAAATACTGTTTACAAATGAAGGAGCCACTTCTTTTAAGTGATTTTTATCTTCATCCTCTAGTAACATTTAAATTTAATTTTAGATCTTATTTAATAGAAAATGCAAAGATAAGTTTCAGCACAGCATGTGGGAATAATCACAGATTTTGACTGAATAAGATCCAAATTTTTAGTTTCATTAAATATATATAGTGAAACTTAGGTCCCCTTTAAAGTTACTCTTACCAGTTTGACAGGTATGTTTGAGCTTATGTTATAGTCAGACACCCTAGGTCCATTTTTTAAGTATCCCAGGTGAGTGGTGTGGTGGTGGGGTCCTTATGTACACTGGGCTTCACTGCTGAGTGGTGTGATGGGGCCGTTTCCCTGGGAAACCTCCAGAATTGGACTGTTAGGTCTCTTCCGTGGGGCGATCAGACTCTTGAGAGACCACTCTTTCTGTCTCTTACCAAGTGCATCTAAGACATCTTGCTAGTGTCCTGGCAGCTGAGTTGGGGAAGAAGGCTGGGGTGGTAGAATTTGAACCCTAAGTATCTCCTGTCATGCCCCTGTTTTCAAATGGTATACTCTCAGCTGTGTCTGGTTTTCCCAGCCCAGCAGCTTTATTGTGTACCTTCTCCAAAGAATAATCCTGTAGTGTTCTGCCAGTGTCAGGAGGGTATCGGCGTGTTAATTGCTTTTTTTTCAAAGATTTTCATCCATGCCATTTGCTTTTTGGCTACACCTTCACTCTACTTCTGTAACAACTTGGTGCTGCCAATTCCTGAGCCTTCTGAGGATTCTGCAGTGCAGCGTGGCTTCCTTCTTACACTCTCCCTGCTAACCAACCCCCACACCACACACCACTCAGGTGTGAACCAGCTTTCCAGTGTTTAAGTCCGATATTATGGGGTGATCTGATTTTCAGTGAATCTTCTCTCAGTCTTTCTGTTCTCTTAAATTTGGACTGTTTTAAAAATTACTTTAATTACTCTTTTAAAAATTACTTTAATAATTGTAAAAATTATTTTTGAGTGGTCACTCCATGAAGGGTATAGAGTTAAATATATATGTTGTATTCTATCTCATAATATTTATCGTGGGATAACTTTATCTTTAGACATGCTCTATTTAGAAAACTTGAATAAATTATAGTATTGATATTATATGATCAATCCTAAATAGCTTTGATAGTTTCAAGTAAAATACTTTAATTTTCATTTCAAAATTTTGTACTTATATTTACCTGAATTGTTGTAATGTGACTTTATACTAATTAAGAATTGCAACACTCGGGGCACCTGGGTGGCTCAGTGGGTTAAGCATCTGCCTTCAGCTCAGGTCATGATCCCAGGGCCCTGGGATTGAGCTCTGCATTGGGCTCCCTGCTCAGCGGGGAGCTTGCTTCTCTCTCCCTCTGACTCTTCCCCCTGCTTTTGCTCTCGCTCTTTCTCTCTCTCTCAAATAAATAAAGTCTTAAAAAAAAAAGAATTGCAACACTCTGTAGTATAGCTTACTTAGATATATTGTAAGATATTTTAGTCCAGATGTGTTTAACTAAATGAGGAATGGCACTTGGGTGAATAGTCATAGTTTAGAAATGTGGAAAATAGTGATTACCCAATGGATGGAATTTTTTCTACTAAAAATATGGAAATTTTATGTCATCCCCATAACATGGGGTATCTCTATCTCTCTGAAGCATAGAATAGTTTTCGTATCTTATAATAATGAACTAAAAAACTTTCTTCGATGTTTGGTTGTCATATAACTTTTTTTTTTTTTTAAAGATTTTATTTATTTATTAGAGAGAGAATGAGAGAGAGCACATGAGAGGGGGGAGGGTCAGAGGGAGAAGCAGACTCCCTGCCGAGCAGGGAGCCCGATGTGGGACTCAATCCAGGGACTCCAGGATCATGACCTGAGCCGAAGGCAGTCGCTTAACCAACTGAGCCACCCAGGCGCCCTGGTTGTCATATAACTTAAAGAATGAATATTATTTCAATATGTATAGTGTATGTGTTATAGTGAGCTTCGGGAAAATCCTGCTTTAGTGGAGTGGATAACCTTAAATTATGTCATTAAACTCATATTTTTAAATTAAAGGCTTTTATATGCAGAGAGAAGTACTTCAATGTGTGTGTGTGTGTCCTCCTCGAAACTATTTGTATGATGTTTATATATAATATTGAGCAATTCCTGTATCACTGTTAATTTAGGTCTTCTGAGTTTTCATTTTTAATTCATGACCTCTGGAGTCTGTCTTCTTCAGTGTTGTCCAGAGAGTATCTAGAACGAGCATCCAAACAGTTAAAGCAGGAAAGGGCTGTGAGCAAACATGAAGTAAGGTCTGTGAGATATGTTCAGATTAGCTAAATTTACATTGTTGTAGCTGGTATTGCTTTTTATCCACTTTCTACCTTCTTCAAAAAAGCTTAGTTTTCAAATATGTAGTTCTATCCTAGTAGTAATTTTCCTTTTTTTTTTTTTTTTTAAAGATTTTGTTTGAGAGAAAGCAAGCGAGCACGCATGAGCGGGGGGAGGGGCAGAGGGAGAAGGAGACTCCCCCCAGAGCAGGGAGCCTGATGCAGGGCTCGAGATCATGACCTGAGCCGAAGGCAGACGCTAAACTGACTGAGCCACCCAGGCCTCCCAAAAGTTAACTTCTTCTGTCCTGTTGCAGGGTGGGTTGGGCAGTTCTCCAGGGCAGATTGCCTCTAGACATAAAATCAGGTATCCAGGCCCCTTCCATGACAAGGCTCTCCCGTGGTGGGGGTCTTCTCTTTGAGCCCCTTGGATGAAAGAGAATGAATACAACAGGCACACTACCCTTAACTGTCTCAAGTGACGCAGAAGCCACTCGTCACACAGCGGTGCTGTCATTTCTACACACGCTCCATTGCCCAGAATAAGTATGGCCCCACCTAAGCCCCTGAAGGGCTGGGAAATTTAGTCTTCTTTTTGCTCAGCAAGAGGAAAGTGAAACAGTTTGAAGAAAACGGCTTTTTTGGGGAGATTTTTTATTTGCAGAAATTAGATTAGGGCCTTGGCAACTGCAAAATTTGATCAGTTTTACCAGGTAGATATCTATGCCTGCCAGTAGTTTATATTTTATTATTATTTTTAAAGATTTTCTTTCTTTATTTGACAGAGAGAGAGACAGTGAGAAAGGGAACACAAGCAGGGGGAGTGGGAGAGGGAGAAGCAGGCTTCCCGCCGAGCAGGGAGCCCGACGCGGGGCTCGATCCCAGGAACCTGGGATCATGAGCTGAGCCGAAGGCAGACGCTTAACGACTGAGCCACCCAGGCACCCCTCTATCTTATTATTTTTTATAATAACTTAAGCTCAATTGTGTGTGCACTATCTCCATTAATTTGATTTTATATAGTACCAAAGTCAGAGAATTTTTCAAAGGGGAAACAATCATCTTTAATCATCTGTAATGATTTATCTCACAGTCACCTTGTAATGAGATTATAGGTGGGAAGTTTGCCGCCCCACAGGCTATTAGCCAAGACTTTGAGTTTAACAACAAATGGAGTGTCTAAAGAGACTGTTGAATTTCTCTGTAGCTGTGGTCAGAAATGAAAAGCAAATCCTGTATCCATTGCATACTAGGTATCTTTCTAGTTGACGTCAAGTTACAGTTACTTGATTTCTTGTTTTTTTCTACTTGCTCTTATTTTATAAAATGAATACAAAACAGAAAAGCGACGAGTGATCAGTAATAAGTGATTGTCAGAGACCTGGTGGAATCCCAGAACTCCTGTCCCCTACGCAGCCGAAAACCGTAGCCTCTCCCAGTTCCTAGTGTCAGTGGAGGCAGAGTGGGGAGCCTGCACACCCATCTCCCCGTGGCCGTCCCTGGGCAGTGTCTGAACGACAACCTGGTTGAATCTCCGGGGGTGTCATGCTGAGTGAAGAGCAGCAACCCCAAAAGATGATGTGATTGCATTTATGTAACATTCTGGAAATGCCAGGATTACAGAAGGGGGGAGAGCGCACTGGAGGTTGCTGCCGTGGAGGGAGTGAGCGTGGCTGTGAGCAGGAGTAGGGGGGATCCCCACGGGGCTCGAGTTGCTGTGTATCTCGACTGTATCCGTGTCAGTATCCTGGTCATGCTATTGGACTGTGGTTTTGTAACACGTTACCATTGGGGGAAACCGGGTTAAAGATATATGGGACCTCTCTGTATTTTCTTCATGTGATCTACAATCATAATTTAAAAATTTAATTAAAATATTTAGAAGTTATAAATCAGCTGACAAATCTAAGTAAAAAATGCTTCTTCCTCCTGCTTAGACAAATATCCTAGCACTTTACAAACATGTGACACTCTACAAGGCCACGTTTGAATTTAGGATTCTTAGACCACCTTGGTGGTGCTGGGGAGTTGGCTTCTGGCTCCCAGTCTTCAGCCTGGTCCCCTGTCTTGTAACCCCTGGCTTCATCCTGCTCTACACGGGCTGTCCCGAGTATATGTGGACATTCTGGACTGCATGTCTGAGCTCCACAAACAACTGTCCCTCAGGCTTAGGCGTGTGAAATAAATCAGGAAATAAACAAGTAGAAGATAGTAAGAAGTAGGGGTTGTATGATAATGTTGAGTTCTTTGGGAAAAGGAAACACTCTACCTTTTCAACTTTAGCATGTTTGACTTTCACATACTTGCTAGGACACGATTCTCCATGAAAATAGGGGACCACTTGAATATGCAAAGTGACCAGTGAAGGGTCAGCAGACATACATGGGACCAGCTGATGAAGATGCTGTGAGTGCAGGCAGGCAGATTGGCAGGAAATTCTGCGCCTACCTTCTAGAAGGACCTTTTTTGGCTTGTGGATGTTTTCCTCTGATTTTACTGTCAGTTCTGCATATTTTACTACTTGAGTTTGATTTTTCTTTTTCTTTTCTTATTTTAGTTTATTGGAACCATTTCCAATATGTACATAAAACTGTGCAGAGTAGTTCCAATTTTAAAAAAAAGTTGCTTAAATATGTGAAATTATGTAGTAGATTTAGAAAGTAAAGTAACAGTATAGAATTTAAACATTGTTTACTACTTATTTTTTATTTTAAAGGGATTGAGTTTACCTTTTATTGTTTTCATGTTTTGTATTTTTTTCTAAGTGCTTTATTTACCTAGCCATGTTCCTTTCTTCAGATGTTCCGAAAATCATTGGTAAAGATGTTTGAAGATAAAGGACTGGACTGCATCTTTTTAGAAACACACATGGGCATGAAGAAGCATTGTCATATGGTTTATGAGTGCATCCCTCTCCCAAAGGAAGTGGGTGAGATGGCTCCCATCTATTTTAAGGTATTTGGGGATAGTCTTTGCATGCATACTTTTTTACTACCTTGCTGTTTTACGAATACAGTTACCTTTTTTCTTGTATTTTTTTTCTCCCTATATACTTAGATCAAACTTTATCTAAAGAAATGAAGTAAAGCACAAAAAAGATTCTGCTGTATTACAAATTTCTGTAGAGAGACATTTGGGATTTTGACCTTTAAAAAGCATGCTTATTTATAAGTATGAATAAACTGTCAAATGGTCATTTATAATTTCTATTTTAATTTCTCATTTCTCAAATGAAATTCAGGGTTTTACCTTGAAGTACTTTCAAGTCAAAATTATAGTCCTAGTTCTCAAAAACCTACTGAAATTCACAAGACCCAATGATAGTTATACACAGACAGTGCAGGTTACAACTGCTGAGATGAGTAACTACTCTTTTAGTATTTAGTACCTCATCATGCTGTTTGTAAGAAGAAACCAGTGTCTAACCTTGACATACATTTTTGAACATATACTTACTAGAGTTTTTAATCAGTTAAGTGTCATTGTAATATTCAGGCAGCTTTTACTGAATAGTGTCGTTTGATACTGAGCTGAATGCAGTATAACTCATAGACTAACGTAAATGCTTATGTGTCGAACCATGTATGAATTAGTAACATGTGCAGTGAACAAAGGAGGTCATGTTTGTGAAGGGCTTTAAGACTTTCCAGTGCAACATTTATACAATATAGGATGGTCAAGTTCATGAATGTGGACTGTACCTCCCAATAAGAAGGATTATTAGACCTGTTAAGGTTAATGAGGTGGTGAAAATCTACTTTCTCTGTAGAGATTTTTTTTTTAAGACTTATTTATTTATTTGAGGGAGGGAGAGTGCGCCCATGCATGAGAAGGGGAGGGGACACCGGGAGAGGGAGAAAGAATTGTCAAACAGACTCCCTGCTGATCACGGAGCCTGACGTGGGGCTTGATCCCAGGACCCTGATCGTGACCTGAGCTGCGATCAAGAGTCAGACACTTAACTGACTGAGCCACCCAGGTGCCCCTCTCTAGAGATTTTTCAAAACAACTATTTGATTTTAAGGATTATACTATTAAAGTAGGAGAGTGAACTGGAGAATCCCCAAACCCATGCTAGTTCCATGTTAAACAGAATCAGGTGGGAAAGAGGTTATTGTACTTTTCTTAAATTTTTTTTTTTTGGTACTTCTTCAGTAGAGTCTTAGGTGATTGTGACTGTCGGCATTGAGGCGGTAGGGTAGAACGGGGCACAGCCACTGTCCCCCATGTTGGGTGACAGAGCTGTCATCATTTGGTAGGGTCCTGTCTCACTTCTACACTGAACCTCGTACATGATCAGTGAAGATACATCTCTTGGCATTAGTTCCGTATTGAATGTGCTACCTTACAGTGTCAACACAGGCAACATCCTGTGCCTTTTAAATATGGAACAGCAATTTATCTGATGTTTTTAAACAGTGCTTATTTGAATGTTAATTTTATGTTTAAAATTTGCTTCATTAATAATGATAACTGTACAAAAACGAGAGTATTTATACTCATAATCCTGGATTTTCTATTAAATATTTCTTTACTGTAAATACTAGTTCTGTTGCTTAGCCTAGAAAGTCTTATAATGCCACTTCTATGTATTTTTTTTTCCCCTGCATTTTTACTTCTTTGTTATAGGGCCAGAGATAGTTCAAGTGCTTGGTTGCCAGAGAGCATATAAGTTACTCTTGACTTTGGAAAAGGGCAGTGAAACAAGTTTATTTGAGTAGGTTTTTATGAATGAGATAAGGAAGTTGTGAACTTCTATATTTGCAAACTTATGTTTAATGTTAAATTGCTTAGTCTTATTAAGGATTGTGTTTGTCATGTAAAGTTGGTCTTGAAGTTACTACAAGAATTAAGAATGAGTAAAATAATATCTTGGCTAAAGATAGGACTTTAAAAAAAGTCAAGAAGGCCCAATTTTAAATAACAGAAATTGAAGCCTTAACCCATTCAAAATAATGAACTACCATGTGTAATATGTCCTGTGATTAATTCATTGTATTACTTTATTTTTAATCTCTTTGTATTTGCTTATAAACTATTTTTTCATTAATAAATGGCTATTTCTTAGAAAGCCATAATGGAATCTGATGAAGAATGGTCCATGAACAAGAAATTGATTGATCTCTCTTCAAAAGATATCAGAAGATCTGTAAGTATCCCCCCCACCCCCCAATATAAGAAATGATCCTGGTGTTTAGGATCTTCATTACTTTTCACATCTTATTTGAGAAAGAGACCATTTGGCTGAGTGAGTGATCAAAGGTCACTTTGATGGCAGGATCACCCCCAGCTGGAGGGGCTCCTGCCATGGACTTTGCAGCCTCTGTGGGACAAGTGTGAGAGGGGCCTTCTGGTTACTTGAATTATAATGAGGGAAATGCTTTCCTACAGACTCCTCTTCAGTTTTTTGTTTTTTTGTTTTTTTTTCCTTATACAAAGACTTCCTTTTAGGTTCCTTTAAAACAGTGGTTCAGTTAGATTATGGCTTCATTATTCTTTGGCAGAGTTTCCTAACCGTGTTTCACAGTTAGTCTTGATTTGCAGATTGTCTCTTCGATACGCTACGCATGAGTTGAGTACTCCTGCAATGACCTCTCTCTTTCCTAGAAATAGAAAATCGATAGAATAGAGATAGAACAGAACTGTGGATTCCTTTTTGTTCTTCTATTCATAAAGTTATTTATTGTACGGTTGCTTGGTGAGTGACAGCTAGGAACAGAACAGAGAGGACCGTGGACCTGTGGGGCTTCTGGTCCAGGGCAGGGGTGGGGCACTCCAGCCTGTGCTAAATTGTCCTGCTGCCAAGTGTGTAAATTTGTTGTGTTGGAACACAGCTACACCATTTTGTTATGTGTTGTTTTTGGAAGCTTTCATGCCACAAGGGCGGAGCTGAGAGTTTGCACCAGAGACCATATACTCTACAAAGTCCAGAATATTTTATTTAAATTAAAACTTTTATAAGTTTTTTTTTTAATATGCTGACCTTTGTTCTAGTAGATGACACTAGCCTATTTTTCTTCTGCTGCTTCTTTTGGAAAGCCAAACTCCTGATATAAATGACTTGTAGGATTTCTCATTACATTTATTGTGTCTTAGTCAAAAGATTGAAATTTCATTGCATTACTAAAGATAATTTTAATGCAAAGGTAAAACATTGTCTACAGTCTTCTCTTTACTTGCTGGTGAATTGGGCCAGACAGTACATTTAAAAACCAAAACAAACCATCCCCCCACAAACACCCTCTTTGTTTCTGTTTTCTGTGAGTCTGTAGGAAGATGTATCTAATGTGGCACATCTGTTGTGTTGGGCTTTTCACTTCTCATCATCTCCAGTGCCACTAAATATTCTTTTATAACCTGACATTAATGGCGTTGAAAATACTTCCAAGTAGAAATTATAAAAGAAATGTGTTATTCTCCATTTGCTACCCTGTATATGCAGTTTTCTTGCTGGTAAACTGTCTAGTACCTATTCTACGTCTGTTTTTAAAATGTGCACAATACTTGAGTTAAATACCTTGAGGGCTTTAATATTAACTTAACCAATATGGAAAATGAGAAACCGATCTTCGTAGGAATGGTAGTTGTGTATTCTACTTTGAAGCATTGCAAAGATACCAACCATTGCCTTTTCTAAGTCACTGCCTAGTATCTGAGAGTCACAGCAGATAGGGAATGAGCCAGATGAGCGCTTAGCTTTAGGATTCAATAATTATGTGGATGGAACTGTGAAGAGAACTCGAGTATTAGGAATAATTCCAGAGGAGGTCACTTTTTAAGTTAACAAGCTTTCCACTGTCTTTTTTTTTTTTTTTTTTTAAAGATTTTATTTATTTGACAGAGAGCGAGAGAGGGAACACAAGCAGGGGGAGTGGGAGAGGGAGAAGCAGACTCCTCACTGAGCAGGGAGCCCGATGCGGGACTCGATCCCAGGACCCTGAGATCATGACCTGAGCAGAAGGCGGGCGCTTAACGACTGAGCCACCCAGGCGCCCTGCAACTGTCTTTTTAAAATGATGAAAGTGTTTCTGAGCACAAAGTGAACAGTCTTGACTTACTTTAATGTTATTTTTATTCTGGAAGAACCTCATTATACTTACTTTTCAAGCTCTGTGTCCTTGGTAGTTTCATAAAGTGTTTACCTGCTTCATGGGGTGGGGTGATTTTTTTTTTTTCAAGTAGATCCTTGGCTTCTAGCAGAGATTTATGTAGTGGTAATTTGTTCTGATTCTTTGTTGACTTATATTTTTTTGTGGTGAGGATAAACTTCTCTTTTTATGCCCATTTTGTTTCCTTTCTGGATCTGATTTCTTTGCCTGTGTGAAGTCTGGGTGAAGGTCATGGAAATTTACAAGGGAGATCTGTATGTTCCTTGTAGAGCAGCATGTTCCTAACTAACTTGTCAAGAAGAGTGTTCATTTTTCACAGGGCTATTTTATCAACATTTCATATGAATTCTTCCTGAACTTTTAAATAGTATGATTTTAAGTTTAATTTTGTGATAACTATAATTGAAAAGCACATTTAGGGATTTTTAAAACTGAGGAAGGTTCATGTCAAGGAAAATTTGGGTTTACCCAGAGACATTCAAACTCAAGGACAATTACAGGAAGTCAGGAGTAGTATCTGGAGTATTAAAAGCGGAAAATTCAAATATTACTGGTTGGGTTGGTTGGTTTGTTTTTTACCATCAATAAAATGTTTTGCCGTAATTCTGTCAGTGTCTTTCAAGAATGAGAGCGAAGTGGTAAGTCCTGCGGCCGGTCAAGGCAGGCGAAGCTAAGGGGTAACTGCGTGAGCTTTGATGCGGAGCCTTCACAGGGCCTCCTGACTGACAGCCGTCCCAGCAGGATGGTCGGTTGTGCCCTCTGCGGCCGTGGTGAGAGAACAGAGACGCTCGTGGCAGTCCCTGTTCCTCGTGTGCAAGTACGGAGAGTCAGGCAGTTACATCACAGGCTGTTGAGACCCTTGGTGTGTACGTTCATTTCCTGCTGGTGATGTCACAGATGAACGCAGATTTATTATAATTCTGGAAGTCACAGATACGAAATGGTTTCACTGGACTGAAATCAAGGTGTTCGCAGGCCTGCATTCCTTCTGGAAGCCACAGAGAAGAATCCGTGTCCTTCCCTTCTCCAGCCTCTAGAAGCCACCTGCATTCCATGGCTTGTGGTTCCTTCCTTCATCTTCACACCATGGCTTGTGGTTCCTTCCTTCATCTTCACATCCAGCACTGTGGGATCTTACAGTCTTTCTCTGACACTGACTCTCCTGACTCTTTCTTACAAGTATCCTTGTGATTGCGTTGGGCCCACATGGGCCCATTTCATGATATCCCCTCATTTCAGTATCCATAAATTAATCGCATCTGTGAGGTCTCTCTTCTCAGTCAGGTAATATATTCATGGCAAATAGGGGATTAGGACATTGACATATTTTAGGGCCGTTCTTCTGCCAAATACAGTATGATACGAGCAGAGGGCAGGGGCAAAGTCATCACAAATTGCTTCCTCAAGTTGTCTCTCCCCAGAAGTACTGTGGGTTAGTTGGTGTGGTTCTGTAGCATTGTTTTAGCCATTCCCATTCATGATTCACATGTGATGATCTTCTTCAGATAACAGAAATATCCTCATGGAGCCTTCCATTCTTTTCTCTTTGGCCACCGTGTTTGGACAAAGCACTGTTGTTTGGGGCGCCTGGGTGGCTCAGTCGGTTAAGCGACTGCCTTCGGCTCAGGTCATGATCCTGGAGTCCCGGGATCGAGTCCCGCGTCGGGCTCCCCTGCTCGGCAGGGAGTCTGCTTCTCCCTCTGACCCTCCCCCCTTTCATGTGCTCTCTGTCTCTCCTCTCATCCTCTCTCTCAAATAAATAAAATCTTTAAAAAAAAAAAAAGCACTGTTGTTTGGAAGACAGAAAAGACAGTAGTGTTTGAAGAACCCTCTCTGTGCCAAGCATTGGGCTAGACACTTTATGTGCATTTTCCTAGTTCATCCTCACAGCGAACCTCGTAGCTCTTCCCAGTTCTCATGAGATTCAGAGATGTTAAATTACTTGCCTGGGGTTAAAGAGGTATAAGAAGCAGAGCTGTGGTCGAGGCCTTATCTGTCTCTTGACTTTGTTTTTTCCTGTCTAGGTCATACATGTTTATCATATTTTAAAAATGTAAAAATATGAAAAAACACAAAGGCACAAAACAGTTACCCACTTCTCTGCATTTTATATTATATACTATTTTGCAAACTGATTTTTTTCTTAGGCTTTTCCTATAACATGAACAACTCTAAGTCCTAATCTTAACTGCTTTGTATTATTTCATGACAACCACTGTCTTTCCACTATACTATCTATCTCCTTCCAAGTCATGCCTTCTTGAGGACAATATGAAATACATATAGTTGAGTAGACGTGTGATTCAGTGTCAAAATGAGTAAGTGCTGACTGTATGCAGGAATCAGGACCCACTTGAATAATGTGTAGTGACAGATTAGGGCTTGGAGTGAAAACTTGCAAGGACACAGATTGATAAAGCCAGAAATTATGGACTTTTCCAGTCAAGATAGAGTTCAAACTACGTGTGTGTATGTGTGTGTATAGAAAGAAGGAGAAATGAAAAGATAATAGTTAATCCTGGAGAAAATTTGAAATGAGGTTGGTAAACTAAGTATTGCTATACCCATCTCGCTAGTTAATAAAAAATTGTGATTGTCTGGGTTTAGTTTACCTTTGATAAATAAATAATAAAGTCTCAGATTATAAACAAAGCTCTATGTATATGGGTAGGCCTCTCCCTGTTCTGCTTTGTGAGGGAGATGCAGGGAACCGTATCCTTATTCTTTTTGTAGTCTAAGGAAGAAATTAGTACCTTTCTTTCCTGTTTCCTGTTTTCCCCAAAGACAGGAAAATAGTGGTTTTGATTCTGTTGCTGGATGTTATGAAGAGCTGAAAGGCTACCAAATGAAATGTTTTACTTTGAAAGTTAGGTCATTGCCTAAGTATTTCTAGAACTGGGAATTTATTATATACGTTTGTCTTGAAGGGGTGCTTAATTACTGTTATGTCTCAGAGCAGGAGAAGGAATTCAGCGGAACTTTCTGACTGGGGCTGTGTTCATGTGTGATTTATCTGTTTATTTAGGTACCCAGAGGCTTACCTTACTTCGCTGTGGATTTTGGCCTCCAAGGAGGGTTTGCCCATGTCATTGAAGATCAACACAAATTCCCTCATTACTTTGGAAAGGTAGGCTCACAGATTTAATAAAATTCCAGAGGTTAGCAATTTGGTAACAGTCCTGTTTCAAAGGGAAATCAAAACTTTGGGCACCTTATAGAGTGAAGTTGGTGAGTACTGTTCCACCCAATTTTTAGTGGAAGAAGCTAGAAACTGTTAATAAAAATGTCCCAGAATATTCATAACAGTCCGGATTGTCACTCTGCAACCAAACATTTGTGGACGTGGTCAAGAGTGCTGGGAGTTGCTTTCCTGTCGAGCCCGCCAGCCTTGTGCCGGAAAGAGTGACACCGTTGACCCTCGGAGTGAGCTGACAGCCACGTTCTGTTAGGAGCACTCCGTTCTGTAGATGCAGTCACTCTGGTCATCTTACGGATGAAGAAGCTGAGCTTCAGACAGAACCAGGGGCACAGGTGCCTCTCGTTCGTGGGTGCGGTAGACCCTTTGTGTATAGTGACGCCCCATCCAGCCCGAGAATATAAGACTCTATCGCTTCACACCGGTCCCAGGTTCCCGGGCAGGCGTCCGAGGGCCGGTCCAGATTGCCGGTATCTTCATCACTGCACATTGCCCCGTGGGGTCCAGCCCGTACGTTTGGGGTCTGCTGAAGTTTGTATCAGGGACTGGAATGAAATTAATGGGACTGCTGAAATAGTAATACAGTCTGAGCAATAAGAGTTCTAGAAATGACCTTTTAATCGAGCACAGCTTGGGCCTTGCTGCTCATGTTTTCCATAAATTATTGTTGCTACTGGTCCCTTTATTTGTGTCCCAGTGAAAAAGGTTCCCTTTTCCACGAAGCTTTTTCTGATTTATCCAGAAATAGAATCTTCTTTTTTGAGTCTCCGTATAGTCAGCCTTGGCATTTACCTTATTCTGCTTTCTAAGATGGTTCTTTGTGTAGTTGGGTTATTCTTCCACAGCTGCACATTCTGTCATGAGTTCTCGGAAGGCACGTAGATTTATGTCAGTTCTCTTTGTATCCCCTATGATCTTTGGTACTTGCTTGGACACAGTTCGGTCCTCTTGGTAAAAAATGTTAAGATGCTGTCCAGGATCTCACCACACAGCCCTATAGAAGCAGACGGAATATGCAGAACTTGACCCTGAGTCCAGTGTTTCCTGTGTTGCCCTCTAAGCATTACACATCTTCCCCATATCCTTGTGTACATGGATACTCACAAGCTTAAGTTGCGTTAATTTCTGTTGCTAGCAGCACAGGAAGAGAATCAGGAGGAAATCATGTAGGATAATAAGCAGACTAACCAAAATCTGTTTCTTACAGGGCTTTGGAATGTGACTTTTAAATGAAGGTGATTTATAATTTTTAATTCTTAGTTTATTCGGATTAGTATTAAAATATGATTTTGTTCCCTGAAAAAAGATCTCCAGCGAATAGTGGAAGAAACTGGCTTATAAATACATGGGGTAGTAGAGAGAACATGAGCCTGAGCTTGCCTGCAGTCCAACAACAAAGTGCATATTTGCTACATGTTGGTTAACCTTTTCTCCGTGCCATTTACCAGAACAGCTCAGAAGGACCAGAATAAGTAAAGTTCACCCTCTCTTTCTCCCCTTTGCTCCTCTCTGGTGGATGTACTAACAAGCAACACAATGACAAATGGCTTGACAGGAGACACAGCCAGCGCTCCTAGAATTAGAGGGTTTGCATCGTTAGAACTAATTGAAAACAAGATTTTTTCCCCCAATTTAAATTCCAGCTAGTTAACATACAGTGCAAAATTAGTTTCAGCTGTAGAATTTAGTGACTCAACACTTCCATACAACACTCAGTGCTCATCACGACAGGTGCACTCCTTCATCCCCATCACCTGTTTCCCCATCCCCCCCACCTCCCCATCAGTTGGTTCTTTCTAGTTAAGAGTCCGTTTCTCGGTTTACTTCTTTTCCCTGCTATGTTCATTTGTTCTATGTCGTAAATTCCACATATGAGTGAATCATGTAATTGTCTTGCTCTGACTGACTTATTTCCCTTAGCATTATACTTTCTGGTTCTATCCATGGTGTTGCAAATGGCAAGGGTTCATTCTTTTTATGGCTGAGTAATATTTCATTGTATATATATATACACCACTTCTTTATCCATTCATCAGTCAGTGGACACTTGGACTGCTTCCATAGTTTGGCTATTGTTGATAATGCTGCTATAAATATCAGGCTGCATGTACCCCTTCGAATCTGTATTTTTGTATCCTTTGGGTAAATACCTAGTAGTGCAATTGCTGGATTGTAGGGTAGTTCTATTTTTAACTTTTTGAGGAGACTCTATACTGGAAAATAAGATTTTTTTAACTTGAAACTAATATTTATGTAAAATGTGAACATCCTCACAGAGAACTACTAATTTTATATTTAGTAGCCGAATAAACAGAAATAGTTTCATTCTGTTTTCAGACATGTGTCTGTATTTTTCTCATTCTTTAAAAGGAAATCATTGGTGGGATGCTGGATATAGAACCAAGACTCTGGAGGAAAGGGATCCGGGAAAGCTTTGAGGATCAGAGGAAGAAAGCCCTGCAGTTTGCTCAGTGGTGGAAACCATTCGACTTCACCAAAAGTAAAAAATGTTGAGTCATACATTTCATTTTTAAAATTTCTTCTTCAGATTCCTTTCAGTTTTACTTCCATTGTGTCTGACTAGACCACTGACCCGCAGGCCAGAGGGAGAGAAAGTCCCGCTCTGGGTCTCAGACACCCGGGCATCACTGGATTGCCTTTCCTGTCCTACCTTGTCCTGCGACTGCTTTGTAGTAACTGGGGAGCAAGATCAGAAACAGGGGGGCCCCACTCACATTCCCGTTCTGTACCCATGTCTTGGTGTTTTCAGCTGTGCAGTTTAAGATGTGGAAAGACTTTTCTGAAGGATTATCTGGGAGGTACAGCAGATCGTTGGTTCAGAGGGAAGTGGGTCTGCTTCAAGATTGTGAAGACTATTGTCTGGCTTCTCTTGAATATTTTAAACCGAATTGGCATTTTCAGTAATAATTGCAATTTCTTTTCGTAGCATTTTATAGAAAGGCTCTTTATTTTCTACTGGTAGTCACTGCTCTTCTTTTTATCAAAGGAAAAAGAATGTCCCAAGAATAATAAAGAATTAAATGAAGCATAATGTGTTCATGATTTGTTTTTATTTCTGGATTTTTAAATAGTGTCTTGAATTTGGGGGATTTTAAAAGTAATCGTTCCAAATAACACAATTTATAGTTGTTTGGGGTTTTGAAAGTTGAAAATTTAAGCCAAGTCATCATTTTGGGGTTGTATTATTACAAAAAATGTCCAGAGCACATTCTGTTGCCCTGTATTCGATCTGCACTTCTTCATTTTTCCTTTGTTCTTACGCTTGGCGTCAAGAGGAAGCCATATACTTACAAAATATGACCATGGTGTAAGAGTGCGCCTGTTTTTTTAATACGGAAGATATTTTTGTTGCAACCGTTTTTCAAAGATACTGGGTTTGGAGCTGATCCTTGACATTTTGTCATGAAATGTTGATTACCTAGAATCAGTGTGGTGCATACTCCGGAGTAACTCCTAACTCTATATAGTTCTTTTTAATATCAACATCTTGTTATTTCTTTGGTATGTTAAAAAATGTTTATGTTCTAGCTGTAGTTTTAAAATTTCATATGTAAATTGAAGTTTAATGGTTCAATTTCTCAATATTTGCAAGTTGAATTTAATTATAATTATCAGATAGATACTTGCTAGTATTATATTTACTGCTGTTTTCAGATTCTTTGAGCTTTACTGCAGAGCCTTAGATGAATGTATAACGTTTATTTATTTAATCTGTGAGTTAATGGTTTTTTGCAGGGCATTTTGTTTTATGCTGGTAGTGCAGAAGTAAAAAGTACTTCCCCTACTTTAAATTATGTTCTAGTCTAGTGGAGAAGGAGACATGTACATAAATAATTATAGTACAGAGAAGTTCTTTTTTCCCCCCTTTTTAATTTATTAATTAACATGATGTATTATTTGTTTCAGGGGTATGCGTCTGTGATTCTCAGTTTTACACAATTCACAGTGCTCACCACAATACATACCCTCCCCAGTGTCCATCACCCTGTTATCCCCCCACCTCCTTCCCCTCCAGCAACCCTCAGTTTGTTTCCTGAGATTAAGAGTCTCTTACGGTTTGTCTCCCTCTCTGGTTTCTTCTTGTTTCATTTTTTCCTCTCTTCACTATGATCCTCTGCCTTGTTTCTCAAGTTCCACATATCAGTGAGATCATATGAAAATTTTCTTTCTCTGACTTATTTCACTTAGCATAATACCTTGTAGTTCCATCCACATTGTTGCAAATGGCAAGATTTCTTTTTTTGATGGCTGCATAATATTCCATTGTGTGTGTGTGTGTGTGTGTGTGTGTGTGTGTGTGGGTGTGTATTTATGTATATATACCACATCTTCTTTATCCATTCATCTGTTGGTGGACATCTGGGCTCTTTCCATAGTTTGGCTATTGTGGACATTGCTGCTATAAACATTGGAGTGCAGGTGCCCCTTCGGATCACTACATTTGTATGGTCAACTAATCTTCGACAAAGCAAGAAAGAATAGCCAATGGAAAAAAAGTCTCTTCAACAAACGGTGTTGGGAAAACTGGACACGGCCACATGCAGAAGAACAAAACTGGACCATTTCCTTATACCACACACAAAAATAGACTCAAAATGGTTGAAAGACCTCAGTGTGAGACAGGAATCCATCAAAATCTTAGACGAGAACATAGGCAGTAACCTCTTTGACATCGGCCACAGCAACTTCTTCCTAGAAACATCACCAAAGGCAAGGGAAGCAAGGGCAAAAATGAACTATTGGGACTTCGTCAAGATAAAAAGCTTCTGCACAGCAAAGGAAACAGTCAACAAAACCAAAAGACAACCGACAGAATGGGAGAAGATATTTGCAAATGACATATCGATAAAGGGCTAGTATCCAAAATCTATAAAGAACTTATCAAACTCAACACCCAAAGAACAAATGATCCAATCAAGAAATGGGCAGAAGACATGAACAGACATTTTTCCAAAGATGTCCAAATGGCCAATAGACCTATGAAAAAGTGCTCTACATCGCTCGGCATCAGGGAAATCCAAATCAAAACCTCAATGAGATACCACCTCACACCAGTCAGAATGGCTAAAATTAACAAGTCAGGAAACTACAGATGTTGGCGGGGATGCGGAGAAAGGGGAACCCTCCTACACTGTTGGTGGGAATGCAAGCTGGTGCAGCTGTTCTGGAAAACAGTATGGAGGTTCCTCAGAAAGTTGAAAATAGAGCTACCCTACGGACCAGCAATTGCGCTACTGGGTATTTGCCCCAAAGCACGAGAAGTTTCTAATGCGAGGTTTGTGCCAAGTGTATTGGAGGTCAGTGCTGAGGGACTGTTTCATACTCCTCTCTGTCTGAGTGGGGGACTTTGCTTCCTGTTTTACTGAGAAAACAGAACCACATCGAGGAGATTTCCTCCCACGTCTCTCAGCTTACCTGCATCTGTACCTGTTTCTCTCCTTTTCCTCTGGAAATAAATTATTTTGTTGTTCTTATCTAGGTCTAATCCACTCATTTATGTTCTGGATTTCATCCATTCTCACCGACTCAGTTGGCCCTACTCTCCCTGTATTATTAGGTTTTTTCCTCTCTGGAAGATTATTCCTTTTAGCACACAGAAACATTTTATAACAATAAACCCTGACATCATATCCTCCCTAGCCATGTTTCTTCTCCATTCGACAGCACAGCTCATTTCGATATCTGTGTCCTCTCCTTCCGTTCTCCTCCTGTTCTCAGTTAGACTTCATCCTCCCATTCTACTAAAACACCCTCTGTGACCCTTCCCCACGGGCACATCACGTGACGACTGCTTAGGGTTCCCCTAGCTCTGTCAGCATCACTGACATCTGTAGACACTTTCTTGCTTCTAGAGCACTGTCTCTTATTTCTCCTCCCTCCTTACTGGCGGCCTCCTCCCAGTCCCCTTCGCTGGTTTCTCTTCATTTTCTCAGCCGCTGAGTGTTGAAATGCCCATCCTCAGTTCTTTTTTTTTTTTTTTTAAAGATTTTTATTTATTTATTTGACAGAGAGAGACATAGCGAGAGAGGGAACACAAGCAGGCGGGGTGGGAGAGGGAGAAGCAGGCTTCCCGCCGAGCAGGGAGCCCCATGTGGGGCTCGATCCCAGGACCCTGGGATCATGACCTGAGCCGAAGGCAGACGCTTAACGACTGAGCCACCCAGGCGCCCCACCATCCTCAGTTCTTTTCTCTGTACACACACTCTCTCTCAAGATAATACCATCCTTAAAATGGTCTTAAATACCATTTTTAGGTTGGTTCATTTATTCAAGAAATACTTGTTTTCTGTATGCCAGTTCCTGTTCTGTGTGCAGGGAATACATTCATGAATAAAACAAGAATTCCTTCTTTTAGGAGTTTACATAGTATCAGGGAAGATAGACCGTAAACATTAGACGTAATAAATAAATTATCCAGAAAATGTCAGCGGTGGTAAGGGCTATGGATAAAAGAAAAGTAGAACAAGACAAGTAAGATGTCTCCCAAATTTATGTCTTCATTTTGGACCCCTTCAGTGAACTCTAGAATCCTATATCTAAATATCAAGTTGACCTCTCTACTATATCTTATCTGTAAGAAGGATATGCAAACTGAATTTTCCTCCTGTTCCAGTTATTTATAACAACCACTTTATTGTATCTTGTGGTTTTATAGGTGAGGAATTTGATTAGGGCTTAGTGGGATGGTTTGCCTCTACCTCTGAGGTGTCTGAGGCCTCAGCTGGAGTGGCTCAGACACCTGGAGCTGACTGGGGATGGTGTGTATAGGGCCTCTGTTCTTTGTATGGTGTGTGCTGGAATTGGAGTAGTCGAAATGGTCCTTTGCTCACAAGTCTGGTGCCTGGACTGGAATCACTGAAACCGCTCGGGACAGGCTGCTGACACTCTCTTCTTGTACAGCAATTTCAGTGTAGTTGGGCTTACTATATGGGTTCTGATTTCTGTCCCAAAGGATGCTTCCCAGACAGAAGAGGTGGAAGGTGCCACTGTCTTAGTTAGGGCCTGGGACCAGAAATTAGCACAGCTTTGTTTTGCTGAATTTTGTTTATCATAGCTGTCACAGAGCCCATCTGCCTTCCAAAAGAGGGGTTCTAACTCTTCTTTTGATGGGAGTAGTGTGACCACCTTTAATCCACACAGTCTACCCTCTGTGCACAAATTTATACTTCTTTCACCTTAAAAATGTATTCAAATCCTCCCAAGAAAGTCTCATCCCAGTAGGACACTAGGCTTAGGCTCGAAATTCAGGATCCCATCTACTGAAGGCTCAGACAGAGATGAGGCTCCTTAGGTGCTTCCATCTGAAGATGCGTGAATTTAAGAGACAAATGATCTGTACCCCCTACACCCCCCACTCCAAACATACAATAGAAAGAGAAGCAGACAGTAACTGTGGTAGGCACATTCATTGAAAAAGATGGAAAATTTCAGGCACATTGCAGTCACTGTTGACTAGTTCTAAAATTAGGTCACACATATGTTGCCAGGCTTGATGGGGGCTGTGGTCCTGCTTCTTGGGATTCCACGAGGCCTTTTGCTCTGCCCTGTGTACTCTTGGTTCAATGCTGAGTCAGCCTTTCTTTTTCATGAAGAGCTGAAAACTGATGATTCTAGCCAAGACAAAGTAACCACGTTATTTTCCTGCCTCAAATGACCAGAAAATAGACAATATACGTGAAACAATGATTTTTAAGACCTGGTTATCAGGCATGAAATTATAATGATCCTGAAGTGATGGGAAGCAAGTGAGATGAGCACTTTGATTGCCTTATCCTGTTGCTCCGAGAGAGATCTCATCTTACAGTACAAGGTGTGGGAATCCAGGCAGAGCTTACGGAACCAGCCACGTTGAGGAAATAAAGCTGTGAGTCTGGGGGGACCAAGACAGTAGGGCAGGCTACAAGAGGAGATCACGTGCATGTGTGGAGGCTACCCGAGGCCAGGCAAAGACTGATGTACCCGAGAGGATTAGAAGTCACATCCCCACTAGCAGGAACAGGGTTTCAAGGCTGACCAGGAAGTGCG